TTTTTTTTTTGAGCTAAAGATAATGAAATTGCACGGAGATCGTTTTTTTAAATGGAATTTTGCCAGCTCTTGCATAATTGGCAAGTAGCGGTACTATCAGGCTTGAATTTGGAGGTTTGGCTCTACCAGTGGGCAAAATTAATCAGTATACAATTTCTTTCAGTCGTTTGGTGAGGGACTTATACAGAACCTTGCCGGGAAATTAGAGAATTCGCTGGTTTGCCTTTGCCTAAAAAATTTTTCGAAGGCAAGAGTCATCAAATAATCTGATTTCGAGCAATTAAAGGTCCCTAACAGGATCCGGAAATTTTTACTTTCTGTAGAACTAATATTTTTCTGTCTTTACTCCATGCAGTATGGATTGTCAAATTCCTCATTTCTAGAAGCGCTACTGTACCGGTGTTTTCCACCCCATTCCGTGCCGATTCTGTCCTCTATGTTTACAGCTGAGGGATGAAACACAAACAGATTACCAAGTCACTGTAAATACAGGCTTGCCTACATGGGAGATCTAAATGCTAGTTCCAGTTTTCATTAATTGTCAGAATTCGATTATTTTCCTCTCCACGGTGGGCCAGTGGCGCCAGACAGCACCGAGGAGATTTCAGGCCCCCGTTCTCTTCCATTATTCTCCTTTTCAAGTATATTCACTGTTTGTATCTTTAAAATTTTTACAACACTTACAATTTTTGTCGAATTCTGGGACTGAAGTTGAGTGTCACCTATTGGATATAGCATGAAGTGTAAATCTTCTATTCCTTGTGTATTTTGAGGGAGGTAAAATACACTTTAAACATGCAAAGCTGGAGTGTTTGTTCAGGAGTTCTCGATAAACTCAAAGATTGGTGGAGAAAAGAAGAGATCTGTAAATTTTCGATTGCAGAGTGGGAAACCACCGGCTGAACTGTTGAACGAATTGATGGTTCGTGATTTGGAGCGTTTCGCTACTTTCGATGTGCTAACAATTCATACGTTACAAGGTTCTCGGGCTGATATATTCAAGCTCCGTCAGTATGTCTATGTACACAGCACACAGACCCATTTTGTCAAGGTAAACTTCACTTCTGATATCAATCGATCCTGATGCATTTTGCCACTTGGCAAACAGTAAAAATTTTGTAAAATAG